ATGGTAAAGAGTGAAGTTAGGTTGCTGGTGCAGGACTCGCTGGAGCTTGAAAGATTCTGGCCTGCTGGTTCTTAGAATTTCTAGTCTCTTACCCGAGATTTGTTCCGTTTTTGGTTCTTTTTTGGTAGCTTTATGCACTTGGTTTTCTATATAGGAGTTTCCTTTATTTTTGGTTTATTCTGGTAGTTTGTTTTGATGGTTACTTGGTTTCCCAGGATCCATACCTAGTTGGCAAGGTTGTTACCAGTAACTCTTTTTTATGAAATGAAAGTATACCTGTTTTCCGGCGAGAAAACTTCTAGTGTTGAATTGAGATGGATTGCACCTTTGACTTCTATGGAAAACGATTTCTAAGACACGGCCCAAACCTCTTCAAACAATGTTCGAACGAGGGTGTTTGATTGATGATTTTTGGGAACGAGATCTAAATTAAATTACTTCTACAACTATGGAGGTTCAGTGAGAGCTCCGAACTAAAAGCTACGTCTATGGCTACATGATAGAGAAAAGGTAAAGGATAAACTTGACATGTGTGTTAGAGTGTTGGTTTTGGAACCTTTGTCTCTGTCGACCCCTCATCTTATTTATAGCCTCGAGGAGGTAACCGCCATAGAAAACCGCTTGTTGGATAACTGCCAAAAAGAACCGCTCCCTGCTTCCTCGGAGTGGTGGTTACTCCTTCAACCGCCTAGGGGCCTCTCTTGTAACCGTCGTGGGTCTTGGAGTGTAGCTTGCCTCGCCTAGTCTTGTTCTGAATCTCGTGTCATACTAGTCTTTTGATGAGCATGTGGTGTCTCACAAAGGGGTCGTGGTCTTCTTACCTCGCGGCCATGGACTTCTTACTCATGTCCATGGCCTTCTTGGGACTTAGTCACTAGTGATATAATGCACCACCACCACGACCTTCTCATTCGTGTCCATGGACATCCTCGTGAGGTGGCATGGACCTCTTAATCATGCACAAGGCCCCTCTCATGAGGCGGCATGGCCTTTCCAAACTTAGTATTTTCAATCATTTCTAATACTTCTTGCTTCGCGTCCATGGTCATCACATGACACGGCCATGGACCTCTTAATCATGCACATGACCCTTCTCGTGAGGCGGCATGGCCTTCTCAGACTTAGTATATTTTGGATCATGAGGCGACATGGCCTCCTCATTCGCGGCCATGGACTTCTCAGTCATGTCTGTGGCCCTTCTCGTGACACAACATGGCCCTCTCATACTTACTACCTTTTCTTGCGTCCATGCCCCTTCTCGTGAAGTGGCATGGACGTCTCATCTTGTCTCGCGTCCATGCCCCTTCTCGTGAAGCAGCACGTGCTTCTCCTTGAAGTGGCATGTACCTCTTCCAGACTTAGTTTATTTTTCATTCATTAGGCCTTGGTCATGGGGCGGCATGGCCTCTTCATTCATGGCCATGGGCTTCTCATACTTAGAAATTTTCATGCCATCTCGTGGCATGGCATGGCCTCTTACGAGAGGCCCATGTCCCTTATTGAATCATGTCCATGCTCATTAATGAGCTAGTGACTTGGGTTTAAAATCAATATCCATAAGGCCCAATTTAAACAACATTAATTGTTATAATGGGTGTGGCCTTATAAACTCCTTGATTATCTTGTAACTCACCAATGTGGTACAAGACAAAATTTATGGTGTAAACAATACCGATTCATAAAAAAAAATTATACGAAATTATGCTGTATAAACAAGATGAATTTTCAAAATTAGCACGAGAGGTGCAAAATTTTAAGAGATTTGAGATTTGTCTATCTTGTTCGAGTTGTAGTGTTTGCTTATATGGTGTCTTAGAAGGCCTTGTTCTTGTACTCTATTAGGCTTTGGTTTTTGTTTATTTGTGTTTCATTTTCACGGGCAATATATTTAATCCGTCTTCGTTTGGTGATGTATGTTATCTTTGTTTAGGCAATATATTCATTCAATCTTTGTTTGAATATGCAATTTACCGATTGAAAATCAGCGACATAATTAGAGTTGAAAATTGTCATGTTCCGCCTCTGATCCATTCTTGAAAGGTCAAGATGTATAACTGACTCGCCTTGTCTTTGTGGGCCATCATAATCCAGCTGATTATTTTGACCCAATTGATCTCAATATGACAACAATTAATATTGGGGGGGTGTCATGAGAGATTGAACACGTGACCTTAAGGACAAATTATTAGCTATCATATCATAAGGCAACTGGTGTAAATAACTCGAGTTACTGAAATATGATCACATATAAATCTTAAGGCTAAATTACACGTTTGGTCACTCAAATTACATAAATCTTTCACGTTTGCCACTTGAATTATTTTTCTTTCTTATTCGCCACTAACTTTGTGAATCGTTTCACCGTTAGTCACCGGCCGTTATACTCCGTTAAATTTGTCCTACGTGGCAGTCAACTATAAAGTTTGACCGTTAACTAGATGACGTGTAAATTTAAAAAATTAAAAAATTAAATTTAATTTTCCACCTCAGCATCCCTTAGTTTATATAATTTATCATACTAATTATTCAATAAAAATTAATTAAATTACAAAAAATTAATTAAAAGCGACAACGATTGAATAGCCGAAATCGAGCGCTAGCTTTTTCCGGCGAGGAAGAAAAATCACTGTGCGGCCATGGGAGATGGGCTGGCGATTACTCTCGCTGCTCTGTCGAATTGGGAATGAATGAGGGCGATTCCTCTTGCTGCTCCGATGATGATCTTCATTATTGGTTCCCACCCTAGCGCCCTTCTCATTCCTTCTCCACCTCCCCTGTTTCTTGTCCCCATCAACATTCTAGAATATGTTGACAGACCCTAATTCCATTCAGGGACATCCGATAAAAAGGCTAGAGCAAATACCCAATTTTAATAATTGAAAGTAAAATCTAAGTGATCTTTTATCATCCACAAGTCACAACTTCCCTCGACCGCTTCACCACCACGCAGCTGCCGTCCTCCAGGCTCCAGCGCCGTCGTCCCGAAGCTCCCTTTCCCCAGAACTTCCGTCGATGCCCTCAGCAGATCTTCCAAATCAAAATTGTACCCACTCCCTTCGAAGAAGAAGAGCTTGTTCTTCTCCGTGCGGTCTTTTTCCCAAAATGCAAGATTAATTAAAAAAATTTTCCAAACTACAACACTTATATAAATATTTCCCAAAATACATAAGTTTTATGCGGTTCGAGTCAAAGAAACTCGATCCACTGAAGGGTTCGAGTCAATAATTATCGATCCAGTGAAGGGTCGCAATAGATCGAGGAAGAGAAACTCGATCTCCGCCGTTCGATCTTCTTTGCCTCGAACCACCCCCCTAAACCCTATTTTCGTCGGCCAATGTTATGGGGAATCATCAAAAACGTTTCCATTAATTACCCTATTTAATTCGAACGGATGATAGGGCATTGAAGGTGGATTAACGTGTTAATTATTGCCCAACGTTTACCTATTTATTACTTAGCTTTTTCATTTCATTTTGAAAATAAAAGCATCCTTTCTTAACAAAAAAAGGAAGGTTTTTTAATCCGGTGCATTATGCTACGCGAAATTAATACACATTTTCATTACAAAAAGGGATGTTTTTTGTAATAAAAAAAACTGTTTTTTTATGATAAAAGGAAGGTTTTTTTTATGATAAAAAGGAAGGGTCTTTTTTATGATAAAAAGGAAGAGTTTTGAACGTTGGATTATAGGGTGAGAAAAAGGAAGGGTTCTTGCTAAGAAAGGACGTTTATTTTCAAAACAGAATAAAAAAGGAAAAACATTAAATGGTAATATTTATGTAAGATAATTAATGGAACGTTTATGGTAATTCCCACGATTTCGGCGGGCGTAAAATCTTCTTTTGGCATAGATCGAGTCCATCACCCTCGATCTACGCGGATCGTGGCACTGAAGCTCGATCCTTACCGTCAGATCTCCGCCAATCGAGTGGATTTACTACGATGCTCGTGGATCGAGGCTCTGTCACTCGAACCTCTCTGTAGATCGAGGTTGTCCGACTCGAACCACGTAAAACTTTGGTATTTTGGGAAATATTTGTACAAGTGTTGTAGATTGGGAATTGTTTTTAATAACTCGTGCATTTTTGGATTTTTTCCTCTCCGTGCCTTGCACTCTGCTCCCAAACGACTACGTTTTGTCGTTGTTGTTCCCTCCTTCTCCTTTCCGTTTCCCATTTTTCCTCCGACGCCGCATAGGAATACCTGCCAGAACCGCCATCAACAGAATCATCGCCCCTGCAATTGATACAGTGATGATGAAATTCCTGCTCAGCTTCCTCTTCCTGGTGGAATTGGAGGACGGGAGCTGATACGAAGGGGGAGGTGGAAGAGGCGGAGAGGAATCCGCCGTCGAGCAGCGCTTGAGAAGCTGTCCGAAGTAGGAATGGAACGGGAATCGCTGGAGCGAAGGAGGGATCTCACCATTGAAGTAGTTGAAGCTGAGGTTCAAGAGCTTGAGATTCTCTCCGGAGAATGAATACATAAATTTTGTAATTTAATTAATTTTTATTGAATAATTAATCTAGATAAAGTAAGCTGATGACGATGTGGAAAATGAAATTAATTTTTAATTTTTTTTTTAAATTTCCACGTCATCGAGTTAACGGTCAAACTTTATTGTTGACTGCCACGTAGGACAAATTTAACGGAATGTAACGGTCGGTGACTAATGGTGAAACGATTCGTAAAGTTAGTGGCGAATAAGAAAGAAAAGTAATTCGAGTGGCAAACGTGAAATATTTATATAATTTGAGTGACCAAACGTGTAATTTAGCCTAAATCTTAACTACAAATAAACCACAATTTAAACACAAAATATTCTATCATTTATTTGGTAACAACTTTCCCCCCAAATTTTACAATCGTTTCCTATTTAAGAGTTTTTGGACATGGCCTATGGCCCGGTCTTACCTGATGGGATCTAGCACAACAGTAGGCCCACTGGAGTCATTAATATGAGATATAGGGTTCGGAGGCCACACTAGCTGATTTCTGGGCCTCCAAGCCCAATGAATTCATCAAAACGTATCGCACGCGCGGGCCATGTGAGAGCCAAGAAGCAAATTCTGTTTCGGTGTTTCCACAGGCGCTTAGCTTCCCGAAGATCAGCGAGACAAACTGAAAGCTACTCTCCGGCCAGCAACTGTTCTGCCGGTTCTTCTTCCTCTTCGCCCTCTCTCAAGTCTCACCAATGGCGTTTCTCTTTAACAAATTCCAAGAGGTAAACCTAGTCATTCTCTTCTTCAAGTTGAAGTTTTCTTCGTTAGTCGATAGTCGGGACTTCGATTGAGATAGCCGCCATTTTTGTTGGTCTTGGAAATGCTGATCCCACGCCAATGGGGCTTTTTCGAAGCCGGAAGCGGAGAAAAGAACGGAAAATTTCGTTTGAAAACCGGAGCTGGAAGCTTGGAGCTCCAATTTCCACAACAAAGCAACAAACTTTTGCTTGAATGAGTTGAAGAACCGGCGCTGCAGTGGAATTTTTGTTCATATATTTACCTGCTTTTTGTTGCTCAAGTGCGTCAGATTTAATTTATCTGTTAGAATGGGGTCATGGAGAATTCTTCTTCTGTGGCAATGCCGTAGAATCTAGATATAGTGCTATACTACCTCGAATTTGGATTGGTGCCCATGCCTTGTTATGGGGAAAGATTTTATTTGTGACTAATGTTCCGTTGTTCTTATTGATTAGGCAGTGAAAGTTCTTGCAAAAAGCCCTACATTTGCTAAGGATCCAAGGAAAATGCAATTCGAAGCGGACATCAATCGTCTATTCCTGTATACATGGTTAGGTTCTCATCTAATCGCTTATTCATTTAGTTCCTCCTCTAAATGGCTGATTTGTTCATTTCTGGAATTTTTATATTTATAGCTACAATCGCTTAGGGAGGACTGCGGAAGAGGCGGACGTGGATGAGGTAATCGAAATGGCCAATAAAGCTTCTGTTGATGATCAGCAGAAGCAAGTGCAGGAAAACATCCATTCTCAAACTAGAAACTTCTCCACAGCAATGGACTCTATTCTTCTCTCTGGCCCTATTGAAGGAGATGAGGCAGGTGGTGGAAGCTCTAAAGATGTAGATGCCGCCCCACGTAGAAGTGGCCTTAGTTTTGCTGTCGGCCAGAGGGGGCCATCTTCCAAGCATCCAGGTAAAACCCGTGGTTAATATCTTCTCTTGGTAGTCTCAAGTTGTTGATTCTTGTTGACTGTTCCTTGCCTTTAAGTACTTTCTTCAAATTCTACTATGCAGCTATTCCAAAGACAAAACCGTTAAGCCTTGCTGAAGTCTCTCTGAGACTAAAGGAGAGCATTGGCTACGCACTTGATCTCAAGCCGTCTCAGATACCCCATGAGGCAGCTGGAACAGGGTTGTTTGTCAATGGTGAAGTAGATGTTGGCACTGTGATTGCCTTCTACCCAGGTGTGATTTATGCCCCTGCTTACTACCGGTATATCTCTGGGTACCCAAGGGTTGATGCAAAGAACCCTTACTTGATCACAAGGTATGACGGAACTGTGATCAATGCTCAGCCTTGGGGTTCTGGTGGTGATACTCGGGAACTATGGGATGGGTCGAAGCTTCCAGAAAACCAGCCCAGCTCTCCAAGCGGCGACGAGAAAGGATCAGACCGGCTTTGGAAAACACTCAGCAAGCCTGTGGAAGGGACACGAATCAGTGGTGGTGCTGGCGAAATCATCGAGAGAAGGAATCCACTTGCTTTGGCTCATTTTGCAAACCACCCTGCGAAAGGGATGGCTCCTAATGTCATGATTTGCCCGTATGACTTCCCGCTGACAGAGAAGGAAATGAGGACTTATGTGCCAAATGTTTCATTTGGGAATGCAGACCAAGTAAGTATGAGAAGATTTGGCAGTTTTTGGTGGAGAACTGGGTCCAGAGAAGGCAGTTCTGATGTTCCCATCATGAAGGCACTTGTCTTGGTGGCTACCAGGGCGATCTGTGATGAAGAAGTTTTGTTGAACTACAGACTGAGCAACTCGAAGAGGCGACCAACATGGTACACTCCAGTGGATGAAGAGGAAGACCGAAGGAGATGGAGCTAAAAGAGTTAGCTTAGGTTACCGGGAAATAGTTTCAAGGATGGCTTGCTCCTTTTACAGAGATTATTCTTATAGCATAAGGTCGCTCCCAACTACGAGTGTGCCATTTCCATCCCTTAATTGCCTGAATCTTCTCAGCCTCATCTTCTATTTATGGGTGCAGACAAGAAAACATACTTCGGGGTGATCAGTTTTTTGACACAATAAATCCCTTGCAGTCATCTCGCAAAGCTGAGAGGAGTTATAGTCTCAAGTCATGTAGAACCAACATAATATGGGATACTAAATAGTTCCCTTTTTGTCCTTCTGTAACAGCTGGACTATTGACAGCAACCACCCATGGCTTTCTTGTTGATTCTTAGCTAGGCATAGCCCCCTGAAGTCCAGTGTTTCTGCGGTGACCTTTTCATTTATAGTTTTCATCTTGTTACATTTTTGGGAAGTTTTCGTCATCATCAATGAAAGATCAATCTTTGAAGCTTTGGTATGCATAAAAATTGGATTGCTATTGGACACCATCGGGAACTAAGAAGCAAGATGCGTGGTTTAGCTTTATATATATAGCATTCATTCCATGATTTATATATGTTAACCGCAGGTTTGAGGTCCTCCCAGCTTCTCAACCTCATACAACAAGCCACTTCTTAGGTGAGTTATATTTAATCGTTACCTTATTTTGTTCTCTTTAAGTGCTAGTGCTTGACTTTATAGAACAGAAAGGACAGAACAGAAAGTTACAATTTAGTGAATTTAGTTTCCTATTGCCATTGCTTCCTAAGCTTGCATGCAGATAATGAAAGGCATCGTCCTTAGGCAATAATGCCCCCTTTTGGAGTCGAATACATGCCAAACCTGATACATCTAGTTGTGGATCTATGTACTGATTACTAGAAAACTCTTCTGTTGAAGGATATATGAATCTGGGAAAGAGTCCCACTGGTTGGCCTTGTTCATCTTATTATGATTTATTGATTTACGATCATTTCGCTATATATACAGGATGTGGTGTCCAGACTTTGCATCACTACAAACAGAACCCCATCACAGAAGCTAAGCAGTGACGCGTGCAGCGAAACTTAAAACCAATGGGGGTTACAGGTTTAGTTGCATTGTCACTGTGCATGTTTCTGTGGTTGGTGGGTGTTTCACCAACACAGGGAGCTGTTGATCCCGAGATCATTGCAGCTCAATCAGCTGACCGGGTCTTCTACATCCCAGAGCAGCCGTCCGTGAACTTCCTGCAGTATGCTGGGCATGTCACAGTTGATGAGAGCCACGAGAGGGCGCTGTTCTACTGGTTCTTCGAGGCAGCTCACAAGTCGGAGGAGAAGCCTTTGCTCGTCTGGCTCAATGGAGGTACCCATTTTTTCACATACTCATCAAAATCTTGACCGTTGTTGTCTCCAACATATTGAAAAGTGAAAGTGGGGTTATGATTACTGAATAGTTAACGGTTAATGTACAATCTTTTGCAGGGCCAGGATGTTCTTCGGTTGGGTATGGGGCAGCTCAAGAGATTGGACCGTTTCTGGTGAAGAAAGGACATCAAATAGAACTTAACCGCTACGCTTGGAACAAAGGCAATTCTTCTCCCCATTGTTTATCGTTCTCATATCTCTCTGTATCCTTATTTTCAGAATCCTTAACTAATTCATTTGCTTGTTTGCTCTGATCTTCTTTAGCTGCCAACCTACTGTTCTTGGAAGCTCCTGCTGGGGTGGGATTTTCATATTCAAACAACACTTATGCTCCAGGAGACAGTGTCACCGGTAGTTATATGCACTGATTCTAGAAACTGATTTCTGTATATATTGATCAAGGAAAATAATCATGTCTGAACTGTTTTGTTGATCATAATGCAGCGTGGGATTCCTACAACTTTTTGAACAAGTGGTTGAAGAGATTCCCGCAGCACAGGGATAGTGAACTGTTCATAGCAGGAGAAAGCTACGCTGGACACTATGCACCACAACTGGCTGAAGTGATCTTTGATCAGAACAAGATCTACTACTCCCTCAACGACTCCTCTAATTACATCAACCTCAAAGGCTTCATGGTACATTAATCGAACACTCCCTATTTAATCACTGAAAGGCATTACCATCATATAATTGTTTCTTGTTATGTTGTTCTATGGCAGGTAGGAAACCCATCATTGGACGATGGAACGGACAGCAAAGGAATGATCGACTATGCATGGGGCCATGCGATGCTGTCGGACAAGGATTACCAGTCCATAATGTCTAGCTGTGATTTCACGAGGGACGACTCGAACCAGACCGAGCCGTGTCAAAATGGAATGGCAAATTACTACAAGCTGTATTCTATCATAGACATGTACGGCGTCAACTCCCCAACGTGCCATCTGCCCACCAATTCTAGCCCTGGTTTCCGGGGCCGACTGCCAAACAACAGGACGATGAGGATACCTGCCGGCGCAGGGTATGATGCATGCACCAGCAACTATGTGTTTGAGTATTTCAACCGACAGGATGTACAGGAAGCATTGCATGCTGACCTCAACAAAGTCCCTCGCCCATGGGACCTTTGCAGGTCAGTGTTTACCTCATCTCTAGCTTTCGATATGCTTGGGCTTGGGCATGGGCATGGGCGGTAGAAGTGGGAGTTAAGATTGTGAACAACTATGTGTTGATGCAGTAATCAGGTAGGCAATGACTGGAGTGAAAGCGCTTTCTCGGTGCTCCCTGTGATTAGGAAGCTGCTTGATGGAGGCCTGCGCATTTGGTTCTATAGGTAACTTAATAGCGTCGTACATTATTGCACTTACTAATCAAAGTAAAACATGAAAGAACTAATACATATGTCAGTTTGTTTAATTGTTTTGGTATTATATAGTGGAGATGCAGATGGTAGGATACCAGTGACCTCAACGAGGTATGCACTGAACAAGCTTGGGGTGAACATAACTCAAGATTGGACTCCTTGGTACAACCAGGAAGAGGTAAAACTATTATGTAATCGTAATTAGTGACGCAGTTCCGTTGCTTGATTGCTTGAATATGATTAGATTGCTGAATAATATGAGTGTTTTAAAAACACAGGTTGGAGGATGGACAATAAGTTATGCAGGAGGGCTGACAATGGCGACGGTGAGAGGAGCTGGCCACGCCGTCCCAGTACTAGCACCGGACCGTGCTCTCCTCCTCGTCTCTCACTTCCTCGACAACATCGACTTGCCACGTGCCTCCTCTTGATTCATTATCATCGTTAATCTGTTGTATTCAATTCCATTCCTTTCGAATATAGTTCATCGGCTGCATTTCCCAGGGTTCGTATCGTTGTCTTGATAACTTTGTACCAAATTCTGTTGTTGGCCTGCCTCGTTTTTGTATATGCCATGGCTATGAGAATCACTATTCATTTACCATTTAACTCATATCAAAACCCTCTCATCTTTATCATCATTCTGTCGTATTGCAAGTTTGATTACAACTCCAATCTTGGCAGAATATCAATTTCACTCTTGAAATAAATCTCGAATTTGATCCTCCATCTAATTTTGGTCCATAAAGAAGCCGCACCAAAGTTGAAAATGTTATCCGGCCGGCGAGCATACTTATGGCAGCAGATTCCTTGGTCTTCAAACAAACTTATTGGAATGATGAGTGAATACTGATATATCAGCAAGAAAGGGAAATAAATCTTTTGTTATTGGATCGGGTGAGCTCTAAACAACAAATGTGGTGGACTAAACTGAAAAATTTTGTTCCATTTTTATTTTCAGGCAGTCACATTATATAGATGCGTGAGTTTTGTATCGTGTACGGGATGACAATGGGGCGGGTTTGTTTAAATCATTCCCATTCCCATTTTCAAATATTCATACCCATACCCGCCCCATACCCATGCGGGTGGAGGATTTGCATACCCATCCCCATACCTGCGGGTGGAGGATACCCATCCCTATGTATGCATTACTTCTACCCCTAATAATCAACATACATTCTTCAATTATAACACTAAAATAACGGGTAAATTGCATGTTTGGTCACTGTGATTACTAAAATCGTTCATGTTTAGTCACTATAAATATTTAATTCCATTTGTGGTCACTAGGTTTAATAAAACATATCATGTTTGGTCACTCTCCGTCCAATTCCGTTAAATTTGTCTAATGTGGTAGTCAACTCTTATAGTTGACCGTTAAATGTATGATGTGGCAATTAAAAAATAAAAAAATAAATATAAAATTTACACCTCATTATCACTATCATTAAAAATAAAAAAATATTCATTTTAATTACCTAATCTCAGCTCACCCTTCTTTCTCACCGTCCCCCGACCCGAGATTTCTAGCCTTCATGAATCCCCAATAATGGGCCGCGGGAAGGGGAAGTTATGGCGAGCAGTGGGAGATGAAGGGTTTCGGCGTCGAGGCGGAGGAGTCGTACTGTGGGCTGCTCTGCGATGCCGAATGAATAGTCCTCGAAATGGCCGCTGCAAGCTCTAGGGCTCGTCTCCGTCAACACCGACGGAGTCAGCGACACCTGCAATCCGATTGCTAGAATTTATTGGAGAATCTTGGATCTGTTCGTCCGTGTTGTGATAGGGTGTAAGAGGAGTAGCTGTTCCTCCTCTTGTGCTTCCCTTTGAAGCTTCGAGATCCATCGTTTACAATATTGATATTTTTCTCCATCAATGTCGGCATCCAACTGTACGGATGACCCATCAATTTCCATTCCCCAATTGCTCCAAAATAAAAACAGGGGAAGGAGATTATGACATTAATATACTCATGTAATTAGTGGGTATGTATCGATTATCTTGCGCTGATCTCCTGTGCGAAGAGTACGGTCTTCCCGTCCTCCGCTGACGGGAGGCTTCCCGTCCTCCGCCGACGTTCGATGATTTCAGCTCCGGTACTGGATTTTGGCGAGGGAGAGCAGCTACGCTGAGGAATTTCATGAATCCGGGTAGCCGAACAGGTGATTAGCCGGTTGACAGAGCAAATCTCGACGGAGGAATTTGAGGCAACAGTGGTGGAACGGTTCAGGAAGCTTATCGCGGACCCCCAAATCCCAATGGACTCTTTACAATTTCTTTAAAGAGCATATGTGGACTCGGTCGGAGGCGAAAAAGTAGATTGATGTATGGAAAATTGGAAACCGGTGAAGGGGTAATCAGGTATGGTTTGGTGTGTTGGAATTATAGGAAATTAAAATTATATTTTTTTAAAATTTATGAAAATGAGCTGGAAAATTCAAGAGTTTTAAATTTTTATTTTTATTATTATTTAATTGCCACGTCACACATTTAACGGTCAACTATCAGAGTTGACTGCCACATCAGACACAATTAACGGAGTTGGACGGAGAGTGACCAAATATGACATATTTTACTAAACTTAGTGACCAATAATGGATTTAAATATTTTTAGTGACTAAACATGAACTGTTTTAGTAATCACAGTGACCAACCTTGCAATTTACCCCTAAAACAACCAAATATTTGATGAAACCAACAAAGTACAATCATTCTTAATACGAAAAAAACATCCAATCCTTTGTTTAATTGTTTCTAAAAGATCAAAGTCTACTAGATTACTTAAAACACACAAATGCCCTGCCGCCGCCAATTTTTGGAAGACAGATGCCTCGTCGGTCGACTGCGAAGGAGGGAACAACGATTTTCTTCGGCGACTGCTGCGAGACGATGGGGAGTGGTGGTCTCGCAATTCGATTTGTCAAAAAAGAAGAAAGGTGCTCCAGGAGAAGGCGCCGGCTGCGGGAGTCGACTAGCAGCAGATGGAGACGAGGAGAATGGAACGGCTGCGGTGATGCGGGTTTCATTAGGGTTTTGATAACTCAAATTACATTTTAGCCATCTATGTTTATTTTTTTTACCCTTCATTTCATTAACAATTTACAAATAGGTACTTGTATTTTTTGCGGGTTAATTGCATGGTTGGTCACTGAGATTACAAAAAACGTTCAAGTTTGGTCACTCGAAATATTTAAATCCGTTGGTGGTACTTCAGTTTACTAAAACCGTTCATGTTTGGTCACTCTCCGTCCAACTCCGTTAACTTTTGCTTACGTGGCGGTCAACTCTAAAAGTTGACCGTTAAATGTGGACGTGGCACTTAAAAAAATTATTAAAAAATAAAATTTAATCTTTGTATAATTTCCAGCTCATTTTCACAAATATAAAAAATTAAACCACCTGAGAGTTACTATTCGTCGCCCTAAATATTTGAATTTATCGCCCTAAAATATTTGAAATTAGTTTAATCCTCGATTTAATTTTACGGTTAAAATCGGAATTCCAATTCCTCATCGGCGCAACTGACAGCCGTGTCCAGAGTTTTCCCCTCGCCACCTCGTCCTTGGCATTTAATCTCGAGTCCGACATCGCCAGATCTCCGTCGTCTTTCCTATCCCGGAATTCGCCCTTGCCGCAAGACCCCGAGGACAGGAACGTCGAGTGAGTGTTCCTCAGCTACGCTACGCATTTGGCTTATCCAATCTCCTCGGCGTCCGCGAAGAGCTCATTGTATTTGTGGGACTTGTGTTTTCCCCCAAATTGGGTCTAATCTAATGAGAAATTGTGAATAGCTCATTCATTGTGGCGTGGGACTTCTGTTTTCCTTCCTGGGTATGGTGCAGCCCAAGGAGATGGTGAACCGAGGGAAATTGGATTCAGATAAGTTAATTATCAAATTGCTATCCAAGCGTCTTGAAGCAGAGACCAGAAGACACACCGAGCTACAGAGGCGATCGAGCGGTGGGTATGTGTTACGTGCCCATTTATCTTGCCGTTGGAGTAACCACTTGCCCACTTTAGTTGTTTCCAATTCCATTTAGTTGTTGTTTGTTTTTTATTGTTGGGATCATGTCCTGTTTTTAAGGTCCCCATGACTCAGAGTCGTTGGAGTCCCCTGTTGCTATTTAAGTTGGTAGAATGAATAAGAAGGTAGAGAATTATCAATTAAACAAAACCCCAAGGAGGAAGGCTCCCTCGAAGAAGCCATACTTTCCCTTTCCTCTCTATTCTACCTCTGTCCCAATCCTCTGCTTCTCTTTTCTTATTCTTTTCCCCCATTCCATATCTCACCAGAACCATTGCTTCACAACGAGACAAGGGGATTTTGCCCAGACCTTGGCCCCAATCCCAGTTCGAAAGACCCCTCACCCGACATTGGGCACTAGAACATAACAGTATGATTGCCATCCCTAACCGGGCGGGTATGCTTTTATACCACTTGTTGATTTGAAGATCGGATATGGTCTAAAGTCTAAACAACATTTACAAGGGGTGGCGATCTAAACTTGAAAATTTTATAAACTTCACTAATAAGGATATTATCATTTTACAAACCTACCTCGCATTCACTATTATACACCTCAGCCCACTATACAACCTCTCCCCATGACACTAGCACCCAGGACTGGAAGTTTGGTACGTACAGATATTTGAGAACTACCAAATACCATTTTTTTTCTCATTTGATATTATATATGGAATACGCATATTATTTTATGAGACTATGATTAAATTTCTAGTGTTATTTGGTATTAGGGATTACAAGATTGAGATTGATATACCAAAATAGCTAGATCCCTCACTCATTGCTACCAAACCCCCCAATTACTTAAAATGACCACTTAATCATACATAGTTCATTTTCTCACTATTCGACAACCCAAACCAATCTCGCTTTGTTAATTGTAGTATGTTTATGGGTTGATTAGTCGTCCCCTATTTTAGTTTGTTGCTTTAAGGGGTCGTTTGGTTGTGGTAATTTAACGCAGTAATTAGACCCAAACCCATGAAATGCAATAATTGGGCCAAAATTCCACGTTTGGCTGGCAAAATGAGTGTTGTAACTTGTAAGTGGGGTGCGGGAATTGGGGGAAATTCCACATATACTGTAATTGACAATTCGGCACCCCTCCCCGTATTTGGACATTCCCACTTTTTGGGGTCTTTTCTTCCAAATCTATCCCTGCCCCTCCCACCCAGAACATCAATTTTCATTATTCTTTTAACTCAATCCTAACATTAATTCGATTATACTCAATTTCCATTTGACAATTCTCAGGTTTTCTATAACATGGACATTAAGGTCAATTTCCACGTTTCCAGATTACCACAACCAAACGACCTCTTTAACGATGCAATATCGACCAACATGATATTTAATTCCCGTGGACAAAAAATGAAGATTCAGATTCGACGATTTAAGTATCGATTGTGAGCGTTCTTGATGGAAAAAAACGACCATCACTACAGCTGCTGCCAACTCGAGGACAACACATGAAACAATTTGATGGCATGCGAATTTTATGCATGGAATTAATTGGCGGCCCATGGACTAAAAGTTTGGTGAATATATTTGGTTGGTGAATTATGGTACACGTGAAGATGGATTGAGGTGTGCTGTGAAATTAAATTCTATTTGTC